TGGTGGTTCGTATTATACTCAGGACCTTCCTCGCCCTCTAGCTCTTCAAATACTGGCAATATACCACATCTATTTTGTCAGGGGACACACACAAAGACTAAGCACAAAGAAAATGTGGCAGCAATGAAGAGATGCAGCGATGGAACATCTACTAAAACAACCTTGTAAAGATTGACAACACGGTTTTATGCAGGGCGCTCTTGTGACACAATTGGCAAGGTATTGATATTTGGACCCATATTCTAGAACGGGGTGGTAATATCGACAATATTTACCTAGATTTCCTTAGGCTTTCGACAGTGTAACCCACGAAAGGCTAATCAAACTGGGTACGGAATTCGGAAATGTCCAAGCGTGGATGAAGACTTTCTACATGACCGCAAGCAATGTGGTGATTAATGGCACGAAATCGTCATCTGTACCTGTAACAAGTGGGGTACCGCAGGGTAGCGTATTGGGCCCGCTGTTGTTTGTTTTGTTTCATAAATATGCCTGACGTTGTACCTCCTCCATACAAATGTTTGCCGATGACGCCAAGTTATTTCGGAAATTAAGAACAAGCGGACTGTGAAGCTGCAAGGGACCTCTGTGGGCTCAGGAATGGTCGAAGGAATGGCTGCTGAATTCAATGTCACGAAGTGTAAGAGGATGCACCTGGGGCGTACCAACGGTAAGGAGGACGTACCATATGTCCCAACGGGATGAAGAAAATGTACTAGTTGAGACTGTGTGTGAGAATGAAGTGTGTATGTTGACAATGAGCTGAAGTTCTCGGGCCATTGTGAGAAGAAGGTAAATCAGGCAAATAAATTATTGGGTCTTATAAGAAGGTCGTTCAGATATCTAGACGGTCCGTCCCTCGTGACGATCTTCAGAGGTGAAGTGCTTCCATCTGGAGTACTGTCACCCCATCTGGTCCCGAGATATGCTAGGGACACCACGTTGGTTGAAAATGTTCAGAGAGGGGCGCCGCAAACTGGTGCCTGCACTTCGGCATCTCAGCTACCCTGAGAGATTGAGCGCCTGACACTTTAGCCCATACTACAGACGAACGGGGGGACCTAGTTGAGGTTATAAAGCATCTCAGGGGCACTACTCCAGTTGAGTGTCCTTACTTGGAGCTGGCGGACGCTCGCCTGAGGGTCACAGCTCAAGATTGAAGAAGCCGCAAGTCCAGAAAACCGTGAGGCAAACTTTTGGAGTGAGGTTGTAAACTCTTGAACAATCTACCAAGAGAGTGTTGTGACGGCACCGAGTGTGAGCTCTTTCAGAGAAGACTTGACCAACACTGGAGCGGGTTCAGGAACCAGAGCCGTGCATGCCCAGTTTGCCAACAGTGCGTGACAGAGACGTGACCGAATCGTTGGGCGGCTAGCGGAGCCGACATCTTGGTGAAGAATATAAAGGGAAAGAGACGTGAACGATCGCTTCAAGCATGCCAACAAGCCGATCAGTGGAGAAGAGGATAAAAGTAAAAAGTAAAAGTATAGGAATGTGGCAGACTGGGGCCCTAGATGATCTCCTATGTGAAGCAAGAACACTGCAAACCAGGCAAATAAATTATTGGGTCTTAGAAGGTCGTTCAGACCTCCAAGTGATTCCGTCCTCGTAGTCTTCAAGTGAAGTGCTTCCCCATCTCTGAGTGCCTGTCACCTGTCTGGTCCCGAAGGATATGCTAGGGACTGTCAGTTGGTTGAAAATGTTCAAGGAGGGCCACCAGACTGGTGCTGCCTTGACACCTCAACTACCCTGAGAGATTGGAGTACCTGAACACTGTAAACATACTATAAATGGTGAGGGTGTTCAGTTGGTGTATAAGCATCTCAGGGGGGCTTTCTCAGTCAATCCTTACTTGGAGCTGGCGGACAGCACTCCCACAAGGGTCACAGCTCTCCAAGATTGAAGTGGCACTTAAGTCCAGAAAACTGTGAGGCAAACTTTTTTTCAGGAGTGAGAGTTGTGAACCTCTTGGAACAATCTACCAGAGGTGTTGTGGCGGCACAGTGCTGACTGTTTCAAGACAAGACTTGACCAACACTGGAAGGTACATTCAGGGGAGCTGGGCAGTATTTATAACAGTGCATGACAGAAATGGGCCTATTGAAGCGCTAAACAGATATCTTTGGTGAAGAGGATAAATGAAAAGGAAGTAAGGTCAATGGTTAAGTATTATTAAAGAAACACACCAATGACTTACAACTGACAAAAGAAAGAGTTAATGTAAATGGATTCTGAGCTACAGTGTCAAGTGGCATCACCTTAAGGAAGTACAGTATGTTCGGTCAGATGCTCTTCTTCATAAAGTACATTAATGACTTAGCTCTTTGTTTCCTTGCTCATGATAGGAAGGATGTTCTGACAAAATAATTTTGGCTGAGACTAAAAGCAGCTTCAAATGGGTCTTGATAATCCCCAGAAATGATCAGATACACTAATAGGTTACTCCTGTTTTAACTACATAAACCACAGATCATAATATAAAAAAGGCGAGAATTATTAGTGACATTAGTTATGGAGGAGAGAGAAGGATAAGACACTGGGTATGTTATATGACAATCAATTAATATTTCAAGATCACATGAATGATAAAGTTAACAGGTAGACCCCAGGTTATAAAGCTTCCATTTAAGAAATTAGAAGTTAAAAAAAATTCCCATAATTTGACTCACAAACGAAAATAACAAAGTTGCAAAAGAAATTTCATTATTCCCTAATTTTCTTTGTAAATAGTGTTGACATTTTGTAAAAGTAATGCAGGATAAAATTAAGTAAGATATATCGACCAATCACTGAAAGCAACAGTGAAAAATGCCAGCCAAACTCTAAGAATCACAAACCATACCTTTAAATATAGATAAGAAAAATGCTCATTCATCCACCACATAGTTTTCTGGCTAGCAGCACCTGTACTTTTTCCAGGTCTGGAGTTTGTTTACACAGCCATTCTTGTTGTAGTTGTGGTCTTGCTGCTGATGTTGTGTGTTTATGGGTATTTAATTATTATTTCACCTCAAATTCACAGTATAGCTACAGTATACAGTATTGTCTTATAGAGATATAGTGGTAGTTCTCCCCCAAAATAGACAAACACTGATGAAAAAGTTGGATCACTGTGCTTCTGTTCACAAGGCATGTGAAGAATACGAGGTTGGTTCAACTACAGTGTATGAATTTAAAAGCAGAAATGGAAACGGACTTTTGTCACCTTGTTTGTTTATCTATTAAATTTATTCACTATGATATATATCAAATTAGTAAACAGAAAAATCCTTAACATTACAGAGCATTAGGTTAAGTGTAGCACAGACCAATGTACCACTTAATATTGATCTCCCATTGAATGAAAATTTATATCATCCAGCACAGACCTAGTCCCAAGGTTGCTGGACAACTGAGTGTCAACCTGTCGTACCAATCCTGTACAACCAGCTGGCAATCTGGACATACACACATTATTGAGCCTTCATCCATCAGAAACATGGAAAGTGAGGGATTACATGCTGTGAGCAGATAACTCTGCTGAGGAGGAGGCAGTATAGACACACTGCATGATTGCTGATTTCCTTTACTAGAACGACTCTGAGCAATTAGGAGGTGCCCTGGGTGCAGGCTAATAGGATAGATGAGTGCTATATCCACTTAGCTGCAGCACCCATTACATAAAAAAAAGGTAACACTAATTAATAAGAATTTTACAAGTGTCAAGTTACAGAGGATGATAAGAATTCTTCAAGTACAAAGTCATAAACCATGAAATAAAAAGGACGATTGTTGAATGGAGTCTCAGATAAAGGTGGGTAAAACTAATTAATAAACAAACATACACAGATTTTGTTTTCGAGAGGAAAATTAAAGTCTCACGTACACAAAGCTCATTATATTAACTGTACAAGGAAATGCTCACTGAGTTACATAAATACATAACACCTTACCTATAAAACAACCTGCCAATCATATTTAAACTATGACGTGAGAGCTGGGGCAACTCTCTGATCAAACACACACACACACATCATCTTGGTGGGTTGTGTATTATAATCTTCCAAGGAACATTCTGAAGATGAAGTAATCTGTAACTGGCTGCAACACTGTCTAATGAATCCTACATCAGTACCTTCATATTTCTGTAGTTGTCGTGGGGCTTTGGGCCTGACTTTATATGTAGGAATATTGCATCATCTTGTGAGCAATTAACAATGAACTGTACTGTAACTAATAATGGAATGAAACTGTAATATGAGATTGTATAAGTTAATAAAATGATAAATACAGCTTCTGACTGAGTGTGGGGGAGGGGGGGATACAGCTATGAAGTAAGTTACAGTTTAATCCTTTGGTACTAGTGTGACTGTATCATCAAGTTTAGTTAGTTACCCATATAGGAGTCATCACTAAACACACTTGTACTAAAAGAATTAGTTTAAACTGTTTATACCAATGACTACTCTGGTGTCCTTGAGTGTACCAGTGGACGTTCTCTTCCCTTTGAGACTTCTGATACCTCATCATTTCCTCATGGACACAATAACTAGATACTGTAGTTATGTCATATTTCTAAACACTCATTATAATCTCTTAATTTATGTAACATTCCATAATTTCATTGACACAAAGCATTTAATTCCATATATAAACAGATTCATGATACAGTACCTGTATTCTTGTTTACAGGTTTTAAAAATAGAGTAAGTAAATACTACTGACTTCAATCTTATGTATGCAGAATGAATCTAGCTCTTTTAATGTTTCTTTGACTAAATAAAAATATTTACTACAAATTCTTTTTATAATCACAACATTCATGACTGACTTTGGACAATAGGTAGTTGCCCTATAAAATTATATAATGTATTTTGCATGATTCCAATTCATAAAATAGTGTGGCCTTCTCATGTGTTCTGCATTTTACCCTATAGAAAAACATCACATAAGAACAATACCTAGAACATTAATTAAGATTTTTTGGGGGAAGACCTTATATCTTGTGTGAAAATTTAGGTGCTACTATAACGTCCATGTACTGTACTAAAATACATAATCTTATAATGCTCTTGATTGTCCCAGAATCATAAGGCATGAGTAACTACAACATGAGAACCACACACAACACACAGCCGTGGCACTCATGGTCAATTAACACTTCTAGAGAATAATAGTTCTTCAGTAGAGACACTGGACAGGTGTACAGTATTATAAAAAATTATATACAGAGAGTGGTTGTATCCAAACCTGGTACAGCACATACTGTAGTCTAAAAGGCCACGAGGTTACTATCTGGGCTTTTTCTGTAGAAGACAAAGAAATATCTGAGATTGTTATTTCTAGCACAAGATATCAATTATATATAGTATGGTATATCCTCTCTAGTGGTGATAAGTATCATCTTTGTAAGCTAATATTTCCACTAATACTTTTAGTAGTCTTTATGAGCCAAACACATACAGTAGCATCATCCACCCTCAGTTCATTATTTTGCACTTTATCAATTCATTTTCCTGTAATAATTTTCTTCAGTTCAACTATTTAATGTCCAAATAATGAAGCATCAAAATGTCTTTCTAGTAACAACCATAAAAAAATGAACATGTGTTTTGTCTAATAAAACATATGGCATTTTTCTCACTGTATAAACATTTTCATATAAGTCAATCAAAAAGGAAATATATAATTACCAGAATAGTTCATTTTAATTATGTAATACATGAAGGTATTACTGACAACACAGTACTAATAAATAACTTTTTGGATCAAGAATATATAACAAAGGAAAAATCACTTAATTTAAGAGTTCTCTCCTCGGGTAACGTCATTATTTTCCTTCCACAACTCTGCCACTTTTCTTTATAGTTGAACAGGAGTTATTTCTTCAGTCTGCCAGCCTTGGCATCGGTAATGGCTCCCCAAAGTTCAAAGATGAAGTCGTCAGTAAATCCAAAAGCTTCTAGATCTGAATCGTCCACAGCCTCAGCAAATTCCATTGTATTTTGCTTCTGCTGCCCTATTTCCCAGATCTGAGCAGCTGTAATAGTCAGATTATAATTAGTACACTGCATAATGGTAAATAGTTCTGCATTGTACAGGTATATAAAATTATACTGTTCTGTACATGGTGTTCAAACACTCAGCTGCCTCCTTGTGTACTGAAGGCTTAGTATAGTATGCTGTCCTTATGGTGAACCATGCCTATAAGAACCTCTTTCACTCTTCTACACCAGTAACACAATTAATTTACTGAAGGTTACAAATCCATCTCTCTTAAGGCTAAGTTATAACACTGGGTGTCAGGTGTGGGAAGATAAGAAGAATAAAATGACTTAAGGAACACCCTGAATCACCTACAATATACAACTTCGGGCCATTGTTACATTAAACTGTTACTCTTACTAACACTTTTATCAATACTTGTTAGATATCATAATTCATTTTCAGATCAGCTGATTCTAATCTTGTGTACATTATACCTATCTCTCTAGACAGCATAGTACAGGGGGTCCCCATTATCCACGGTTAACTGGGACCGGAAAAAAGCCTCTGATAACAAATCCACTTAAAGCGGGGAATTAATCCTCACAGAAATAATGGAAATAGGTGACTTGGGACCATGACATTGTACATGAACCACTAAAAAAAATGTATATGATATATTTTAACAATTATTTTCCTAAGAAACATTTCATTATTATAAGAAATTATTTAACTTAATAAGTCATTTAACATCCTTAAAGTTTATTGGGGTCGGTGTGTTGAGGCAACGTAGGTTGTGCCAGCTGGTGCACAATCACTCCAGTGGTTTATGGAGACAAAAAACTTATTGTAATGTTTTAAAAATAAATAATGTTAACATAATAAAATATTTTATTTACTTAGCTTCAAAGGTAAAGATGTTTGGCTTGATTGGTTTGATGGAGGTGGGTGTTGGGGGATGGAGGATTAGTCGGAGGATGAAAAAAGAAACAGGACTTGGTGGATTCCCACTCTTCTTTCACCTAATCACTTCTAACTTTACATCTATATTATAGCTAGTGTGCTTCCTTTTGAGTGCTGCACCACCCTGTTTGGGTTGGGAACTCATGGCTACAATAATTATAAAATAATTCACCACAACATGCACAAAAAGACACAATAAAGTCAGGAGTAAACACAACACAGCACTGGTCTGAACGAAACAAAGCGGGAGACTGGCGCGGGGACACTCATGTGTGCATGAATAATGCCAGGAAGAGGATGAAATTTCAAATGCTTAAGCTCAAAATACGTAGATTTTATCGGGAGTTTTCAGAGTTTTTGAGTGGAATCCACTTAAATGCTGGAACTTTTCATGTGGATGGTCACAAAACCGTAGGTAGTGAATACTCTTATAACAGAGGACTCCTGTAATAACTTTTTTCTATCTTAGAAAAGATTAGTACAGTAATGATAAATCAATGCACATTTGGGACCTCAGTTGATCCCAGTTTTTGATGGTGAATACAGCATCAAGAACATTGTCGTACTTTTTACTTTTATCCTCTTCACCACTGATCGGCTCTTTAGCCGCTTCGGTGGTCGGTCACGTCTCTATTACACACTGTTGACAAGTACTGGGCATGCACCGGCTCCTGAATATATCTGAACTCGCTCCAGTGTTGGTCAAGTCTAATCTTGAAAAAGCTCACACTTGGTGCCGTCACAACACTCTCTGGCAGATTGCTCCATGAGTTCACGACTCTCTGAAAAAGTTTGCCCTCACAGTTTTCTGGACTTGTGGCTTCTTCAACCTTGATGTGTGACTCCTTATGGGGCGAGCATCCGCCAGCTCCAAGTAAGGACACTCGACTGAGTAGTGCCCTTTGAGATGTTTATACACCTCAATTAGGTCACCCCTTGCCCATTTATAGTATAAGTTAGGCAGTTGCAGGCGCTCTAATCTCTCTGGATAGCTGAGGTGCCGAAGTGCAGGTACCAGTCTGGTGGCCCTCCTTTGGACATCTTCAATCAACTGACAGTCCCTAGCATATATACTGGGATCAGGTATAAGGGATTCTCCAAGCCCTCCTATACTCATACTGTTCTGTACTGTGCAGACATGTCAAGACATCCATGTACTGTACAGACAATACAGGTATACCTTGCTTGATTTACAACAGGGATATGTTTCTGAAAACCTAATATCTTGCAATAAATCTAAATATTTGCATACATAAATAAGTAGAAATGATTTACTATCATAAATCATAAGTCAAATTATATCATTACCTGTACAGTATACACAATACTGTACCTGCCCAAGGTGCCATAAGAGTTCATAAATGTAAGAAGATTCAGGTTAGGTTAAGTTCTTTGGTCTTACAAAAGAATATCTTTGGTTCTATTACAACAGGTGGGGTTTCATCCCAACAGCCATAAGAGTTGATCATATTTTCTCACAATTGGGTTTTAATTGTTTAATGAAACAGTTCCTGTGGGATGTTACTTCCTCCCTGTTATTTCTTAGGTTCTTTAAAACCTATACATGACCATTCTGGATTTCAATGAAATGAGGACCATTGTTAGTTCTTGGCATTTCTGAGACAACATTATTGGTGGAAAGTTATATGCATGATTTAATGCCAAAAGTACCCAAATCAGTAATCCCTACACAGTGAGAGTACATCCCCATAATCACTGACAATAGTGTACTGTATATTCGGAAAATACTCATGAACATTTCTCCAAGACTAGCATCAGCCACCACCCAACTCAGTACTACAGGGAATTCTCCTACAAAGACAATCAAGCAATAAACTCCTCCACTTAAATACTCCAGCCATACAGCATACTCAGCACACCCTTGGCAGTTGCTCACGCCTAAGACAATACATAAAGTACTTGTTAACAGTGCATAAATGAGACGTCTCCCAAGCAGCTAACAGGCCAATCAGTAGCAAACAGGTTAATGTAAAGGCCTCACTCACTTCAGAAATCACTATTTAACAGACTATACGGAGAGGAAAGTCTGTTATATTGAAGACCCATTAGATATGAAATTCCCATCTAGTGGATTATATAGAGAGAGGAGTCCACTATATGGTGGTTTCACTGCATCTTGCTAGACTGTGTTGTGGTCACTATCCTTCCATAAAAAAAATACAATATCCAACTCAACCAAAACTCACTTTGGCCACAAAATAACACTGCCTGAAGCACAAATCTTTTACTCGCTACATGTCTGATATTCATCCAACACAAGCAATCCTTCAGCAAAACTTCCATCAAAGAGCACGTGAGGTTCCTGACTCTCCACCCACGTGAAGCAAGGACTACAGAGGTAAATGTTTGGGATCACATGAAGATTAGACCTATAGGTTATTTCACCTGATGATTAAACACCATAATGTTAGTTAAACCTTACCTACCTGTAGTCTAGTCTAGATTAGCTTGTCTAGCCTAACCTAATCTGCTTTAATCTAGCCTATCCTAACCTAGCCTAGCCTAACCCAATCTACTTTAATCTAGCCTAACCTAACCTAATCTACACTAATTGTACTTATTTACTTTTATCCTCTTTGCCACCGATCGGATCATTAGCCACTCGGGCAGTCGGTCACATCTTTGTTAAGCCCTGTTGGCAAGTACTGGGTACTGAATGTTAACCACGCTTAACCTAAGGGATAGAGATATTTACAGACGAAAATAGAAGAAGCTGGATCCCTGTTGGTTGCCAGACTAGTGCAAGTTGGGAAAGAGATCCTCACTAAGACTGAGGAAGTAGCTGATAGAATAGGAGTAGTAGTAAAGAAGAGTTATGCCCAGGCTGTAGCAGGGTCACAGAAGATGACGGAGAGTAATGCACGATCTGAACAGGTCCTTTAGTGGCTAGGGACTCTACAGAAGTGTGTTGAAGATTTGACACCTAGTAGACCTACTGATATGGGAGAGGAGGAACAATGGTAACGATTCGAACACAGTAACAAAATAATATTACTTGGAGTCCCTGAGAGCCAGTCGGAGAAAGCTGAGAGTAGGGAAAAACACGATAAGATGAAGTTTCAGAATATCTGTGAAAAGGATCTGAACTTGTCAGCTGCCACTCAGGACATGAGGAGGCTGGGGCAAAGGCAGGAGAACAGGCCTCGCCACCTCAGGATCACACTAGTGACTAAAGGTAAGAAATGGGAAGTTATTCGGCAGGCAAAAAACTTAGCAAGGAGCAATGCATTTAGTGGTATACAGTACTATTCACAAACCCAGACTGCACGGTAATGCAGAGTGAACAGCACAAAGAACTCCTGTGGTACTTAAAGCGGTAGAGGGAGGATTCGATGAGGAATGGGGACAGATGTGCATGGGTTACATACAAGGGGAAGGCTAGTGGAGGCAAGTGCACCAGTACAGAACCAGGGGACAGCAGAACACCCTCCACCTGCTCTACCTCCTACCCAGGAGGAGGCAAGTGCCATGTAAACACTTTCATTTCTGACCAACCCCCACGAAATACAATGAATTTAGTAAACAAAGTAGCTGCTGAAAAAGGAGGGAGGCCGGAGTCACTACCAATATCAGAGACATTATTGAGGGCAAATTCCAGCTGAAAAGTCATATACACTAATACTGACAAGTTCCTTGATAAGAGAGCGAAGTTTGAAACCCTACTCATAGTACATCAACCCGATATAGGAGTAGTTGTAGAACTGTTATATAAAAACAGGAGAATCAACCCCGAGGAATGCGACATTAATATTGATGGATAGGACTTATTTACGAACCTTTCTCAAGCAACTTGCAAGAGGGGTGTGGTTATCTATGCTAGGCAAGACCTTAGAGCCAGTCTGGTAAGAGTGAAGGGGGAGGATGTTTTTGAAGAACCAAAGTGGTGTAAAATTAAACTAAAGGGGAGGGACTTATTGTTGGGTGTATCTACAGATCCACAAACTGTAGCTTATTAAACCAAAGGAACTTAGAGCCTTAACTGACAATACAACAGCACTCAACCCTAGCCACCTCCTTATCATGGGGGACTTTAACTATGGCAACATCAATTGGAGAAATGAGACCATGCCAAATGACCTAAGTAACTCCGCTACTCTTTTTGTAGAAACTCCGAGACAAATTTCTATTCCAATAAGTTAAAGATCCAATTCAATACAGAGAGGAGCAAATACCCAAACTGCTGGACCTCATCATAACTAACAAGGAGGGTATGGTGGCCAAGCTGGAACACCTGGTCCCCGTTGGCACCAGTCACCAGGTAATGTCATTCAGATTTAACTGTTACTTGGTTCATGACATAAACAGGTCCAAATATTACATGGGTATTTGCGACGGGATGAGAGAGGAGACGAGAGGTATTCACTGGCCTGACTCACTAAGATATAAGAACGCACACACTATGCTGAGTATTATCGATGGCCAGTAAAGTGAACTATTTGATCGTTAAATACCAAAGACCGAACCAAGTGCATCCAAGAATACAAGAAGACCGCTAAACATGAACCATGCGACAGTCGACAAAGTTCGGAAAAACTCAGGAATTCGAGATGTGGGTTACGAGAAATTGATGAGCAGGGCAGGAAGATGTATGGCAGATCCAGGAACTAAGCTAAGTTCCAGAAGCAGATTGCAAGCGAGGTCAAGTCAAACCCAAAGGCTTTTTACCGCTATGCAAAGTCTAAATTCGAAACGTGAGTTGGCGTATTGGTCCAGAGACTTGGAGATGGTAGTTACACAGATTCTAATCAGTACATGGTGTAGGTGTTCAACACATTCTTTTCCTCGGTGTTCAAAAGAGAGGATGCAAACAATCTTCCTGTGTTTGAGGATAGATGGTTTGACACAGTGCTGACCCACATTGTATTCTCAGAAGAGGATATAAGGAATAAATTGCCAAAGCTAAAGGTTCATAAGAGTCCCAGCCCTGATATGGTGCATCCCAGGTGCTAAGAGAGTTGTGCAACAAGCTTGCTGAGCCCCTGAGGATCCTGTTCTGTAAATGCCTGGATGAGCAAAAGGTCCACGGTGACTGGAAAATAGCTTATGCGAGTCCCATATTCAAGAAGGGCGATCGTCACTCCACGAATAATTATAGACCAGCGAGCCTACCCAGCATAGTATGTAAAGTACTAGAGAGCATCATAAGAGATGCCATGATGGAACATCTACTACAAAACAACCTTGCAAAGGATTGCCAACACGGTTTTATGCTGGGATGCTCCTGTTTAACACAATTATTCAAGGTAATGGATGTTTCGTATCAAATTCTGAAACATGGAGGTAATATCGACAATATATACCTAGATTTTGCCAAGGCTTTCGACAGCAAACCTCGTGAAAGGCCGAGAAATAAATTGGAAGGGTACGGGATTCAGGGAGGTGTCCTAGCGTCGATCGGATACTTTCTTCATGATGGCAAGCTGTCTGTGTGGTTTTTAATGGTATGAAATCATATGTACCCGTGACAGGCGGGGTACCATATGGCAGTGTACTGGACCCAATATTGTTTACTTGTGTTTGTTTCATAAATTATATGCCAGAAGCTATACACTTCTCCAGACAAATGTTTGTGGACGATGCCAAGTTATCCAAGGAAATTAAGAACCAAACAGACTGTGAAGAGCTACAGAAAGATCTCTGTGAACTTCAAAAGTGGTCGAAGAAATGGCTGCGAAAATTCAATGTCATGAAGTGTAAGAGGATGCACCTGGGTCAAGGGGTCATACCAACAGTAAGGAGGCATATCACATGTCCCAATGGGAAGAAGAAACTGCATTAATGGAGACCGAGTGTGAAAAGGACCTAGGTGTATGTTGACAATGAACCGAAGTTCTCGGGCCATAGTGAGAAGGTGAATCAAGCAAATATACAAGTAGGTCTTATAAGAAAGTCGTTCAGATATCTAGATGGTCTGTACCTCATAATGATCTCAAGGTGCTTCCTTGTCTGGTCCCTGAGATATGCCACAGACTGTCAGTTGATTGGAAATGTCCAAAGGAGGGCCACCAGACTGGTGCCTGCACTATGGCACATTAGTTATCCAGAGAGATTAGAGCACCTGTAACTGCCTAGCTAATACTGAAGACAGGCAAGGGGTGACCTAATTGAATTGTATAAACATGACAGAAGGCACTACTCAGTCGAGTGTTCATACCTGGAGCTGGCAGATGCCCGACCCACAAGGGGTTACAGCTCAAGGTTGAAAAAGCCACAAGTCCAGAAAATTGTGAGGGCAAACTTTTTCGGAGTGAGAGTTGTGAACTCTTGGAACAATCTGCTATAGTGTTGTGACAACACCGAGTGTGAGCTGTTTCAAAACCAGACTTGACCAATACCGGAGCAGGCTCAGATGTAGTCAGGAGCAGTGCATGTCCAGCACTTGCCAACAGTGCATAACAGACGTGACCGACTACCCAAGCGACTAACGAGTGGCAAAGAGGATAAAGTAAAGTAACCTAACCTAACCCCCTCCAGGTAACATTAGGGTGTTTAATAATCTGGTAAAATATGCTGGGAGCTAATCCTAGGGAAATCCTATTTTTTCATAAGGCTATAAAGCACTGTAAGGATGTCACTAGCTGCTAGACATCAGTGATAAAACTCATAATGACTAATACCTGTAGTTTTCAAAATAAGGTGCGAACACACACACACACACACACCACTCAAGGGTAATACACTTACCTAAGTCATTGTCATTGATGCCCATGAAGTTTTCCAGCAATGAATTAATCTTTTCAGTCGCAAATGTAGAGAGATCATCCGGCTGTAGGAAGAATGTTCAACGAGTCAGTATTTATGATATAAAAATAGCGATGTGTACCATGACCATATTAAGAGTTATAGGAAGAATGTTTAGCAAGTCGGTCTTTATAACATGACGATATAAGGTATTTGGTGATCCTTCTTGATAAGGTATTATGTCGTAATATAGGAGGAAAAAATAACAACTCAAACTAATGGATATTGTACTTTGACAATATAGGTCACCAACAATACAAATTTATAAGACAAAACTTATGTCCTGAGAGAAACAAATAGGAAAAAATCATATATGTCGTCTTATTTTTTAGAAAAAATATGAAGCCTGACAAACATACGAAATAAACAAGAATATCTGATTTAAGACTCACTGTAGTAGAGAATAATCCAGGATATTGTGACTTACCGCATCCTCCACTTCAGCTTGTCCATTGGCCTTGAAGCGAAGTGTTTGTTTACCACTGCCGTAGCCTTTCTTACTGCTGGACCGTGGATCTGACCGAGGCCCAATATTTGCTGAGTAGAGAAAGAAACTGAATTAGGTTAAGTTGTAAAGTGAACAAGATTGATATTTCTTGAGTATTGTACTGTACTGTACAAAAAAAAAAAAAAATGAGCTGGCTTCTACAGTTATCCAGTGTGACTGAACCTACCAAACATCATAGGTTTCCCGAACAGCTAGTAACCTGACACATGGCGAAAATTATATACTGTACTGTACTATAAAAAATATAAGAGATAAAGACCAATATTTCCTGGAGAGTATATTTTTTTTTACTTTTATCCTATTCACCACTGATCGGCTCGTTAGCCGCTTGGGCAATCAGTCACATCTTGTTACGCACTGTTGGCAAGTACTGCATGCACCGGCTCCTGAATGTATCTGAACCTGCTCCAGTGTTGGGCAAGTCTGGTCTTGAAAGAGCTCACTCTCGGTGCCGTCACAACACTTTCTGGTAGATTGTTCCAAGAGTTCACAACTCTCACTCCGAAAAAGTCTGCCCTCACAGTTTTCTGGACCTGCAGCTTCTTCAATCTTGAGCTGTGACCCCTTGTGGGGCGAGCGTCCGCCAGCTCCAAGTAAGGACACTCGACTGAGTAGTGCCCCTTGAGATGCTTATACACATCAACTAGGTCCCCCCTTGCCCGTCTGTAGTATAAGCTAGACAAGTTCAGGCGCTCCAATCTCTCAGGGTAGTTGAGGTGCCGAAGTGCAGGCACCAGTCTGGTGGCCCTCCTTTGAACATTTTCAACCAACTGACAGTCCCTAGCATATCTAGGGAACCAGACGGGGTGACAGTACTCCAGATGGGGAAGCACTTCACTCTTGAAGATCGTTACGAGGGACGGACCGTCTAGATATCTGAACGACCTTCTTATAAGATCCAATAATTTATTTGCCTGATTTACCTTCTCGCAATGGCCCAAGAACTTCAGCTCATTGTCAACATACACACCTTGGTCCTTCTCACATTCAGTCTCAAATAGTGCAGCTTCTTCATCCCGTTGGGGCATATGATACGCCTCCTTACCGTTGGTATGCCCAGGTGCATCCTCTTACACTTCGTGACATTGAATCTCAGCAGCCATTTCTTCGACCATTCTTGGAGCTCACAGAGATCCTTCTGCAGCACCTCACAGTCCGCTTGGTTCTTGATTTCCCGAAATAACTTGGCGTCATCGGCAAACATTTGTATGGAGGAGTGTACAGCGTCAGGCATGTCATTTATGAAACAAACAAACAACAGCGGGCCCAATAATCTGCCCTGTGGTACTCCGCTTGTGACAGGGACAGATGATAATTTCGTGCCATTATTCACCAATACCTTGAGCAATTGTGTTAAGCAGGAGCGCCCCGGCATAAAACCATGTTGGCAATCCTTTACAAGGTTGTTTCGTAGATGTTCCATTGCGGATCTCTGATAATACTCTCAAGTACTTTACATACTATGCTGGTGAGGCTCACCAGTCTATAGTTGTTCGTGGAGTGCCGATCGACCTTCTTGAAAATAGGACTCACATAAGCCATTTTCCAATCACTGGGGACCTTTTGTTCATCCAGGCATTAAGTATAAGAGTTAAGAGAAAAATGCAAATACAGAGTACTGTATTGTTTTAATTGTTACCAACACAGTGAACTGAATACCAGAAAAATGAAAATATCAGGGTATGTGTCACTCTACGATTAATTATCTGCCCAGTAACAGGTTGGGGTAAATGGGCTGTGGTTTTATTATAAACTAAGTACTTAATATAAGGAATACTTAGGGACAACTTCCATCCTAGACTCATAACAATGCTGATGAAAGGACCCTACTGGCAGCGTATGGCTTTTGTCGGCTGTCCTTGGTCGAATTGTTGGTGAATGAAAATAATCACAGAGAAAAAATCAAAATTTTGGCTGGGCAAAAAAAAAAGAGTCGCATTTCATTTCACTAACAAGTTGGATTGGGTTGAGTTTGGTTTAGCTGGGCTGGGTTTTGCTAGGCTGGGTTTAGGTGGGTTGGGCTTTGCTAGGCTGGATTTAGTTGGGGTGGGGTGGGTTTGGCTTGGCTTGGCTAAGCTGAGCTGGAGAAGGCTGGGGTGGGTTGGGGATGGGCTGGGTTGAGCTGATGTGGGTTGGGAAAGGGCTGGGATGGGATGGGATGGGATGGGATGGGATGGGATGGGATGGGATGGGGAGGGGCTAGGTTTAGCTGGATTGTGGATGGGTTGGGTTGAGCTTGGCTAGGCAAGACTGAGTTGAACTTAACTGGGTCGAGTTATTTTTTTTTATTTTCTAACAAGACCAGACCTAATCCTTATATGTCTCTAGTTATACACTGTTATAATAAACTTATAGTCTTACAGCTTATACGAATAATAAATACCCCCCCCCCTTTTTATGTGAGGAGAGAGGTGGTAGCTGTGGTAGTGGGTGAGAAAACGGTTAAGGTACACACCAAAGCCAGCCTTCAGAGGTTCCACCAGTCTCATGACGAAGGTGGTGCCCCTTGGGATCTCCTTCAGCATCTTGGCAACTTCGTAATGACGGTGACCCACTAATTTCTTCCCGTCGATCTTCTCTATGTGGTCACCAATCTGAGGACACAACGCCATCATTAGTTACTGTGTGAGGTGAGGTTATAAGATGGATGAGGGGGAGGGCGGAGAGAGGGGGGACGAATGGGGAGGGGCTAGGAACAAAAGGGAGGGGCTAGGAACAAAAGGGAGGGCTAGGAACATAAGGAGAGGGGCTAGGAAACAAAAGGGGAGGGGCTAGGAACAAAGGAGGGAACAAAGGAGGAGGGGCTAGGAACAAAGGAGGAAGGAGTGAACGAAAGGGGAGAGAACAGACATGTGGAAAAAATTGAAGTAAACAATAATATGTAAACAATAAACTGAGTAACAACGAATCCCCTCCCACACACACCACACGCGACCGCTACTACTGACTGCACCCACTACTGTTAACTGGGGGACACGAACCCACCAATTAAAACAAATAAAGAGAGGCGGTGTGGGAGTGTCAATGAGACCATCGGCGAATAAAAGGAAAGTGTGTTACTACTGCTAAAGTGAAAGCAAAATATACTAGTGACTACTCCTTCATTGCTGTGTGTGATCGTGTTCAAATTGGCACCCAGACTTTAAACTGTTTGATCACCTGAAGATTAGACACCCTGCAGTTTATTTTATCTTTAGATTAACCACCTTATGCTACCTCGGGGGGGGGGGGTTAAGTTTGAGTAAGGTAGGTTAGGTTAGCGTTAGGGTGGTTAATCTTCAGGTTAGGTTAGGGTGGTTAATCTTCATGTTAGGTTAGCATGATTAATCTTCAGGTTATGTTAGGGTGGTTAATCTTCATGTTAGGTTAGCATGGTTAATCTTCAGGTTATGTTAGGGTGGTTAATCTTCATGTTAGGTTAGCATGGTTAATCTTCAGGTTATGTTAGGGTGGTTAATCTTCATGTTACGTTAGCATGGTTAATCTTCAGGTTATGTTAGGGTGGTTAATCTTCATGTTAGGTTAGCATGGTTAATCTTCAGGTTATGTTAGGGTGGTTAATCTTCATGTCAGGTTAGCGTTGTTAATATTCAGTGATCCAAAATTGGCTATACGATAATTTTCTGCCGTCAAGTCCATAAATAATAAGTCTCTGATATAGGGTGAGGGCGGACTCAGGTATTGTTAACTATGGGATATATTTCAGAAAAAGAATGCAAATTTCGCTGGTATACAATGGTGAATCTGTCGCAGTGAGGAGGATATCTCCTCTCTCTGTCCACTGGGGCAAGATAACCACAATATTATGTTCCTCACTTCTTGGAAGATTAAGACACTGAGCCAACAACAATTACAACAACAACGACATTGAATGATGACTAAGTCCGCGTGACCACTGACCACAGCTGTTCAAGGAGTAGAACTATTTATTCTATATGTTTCACGAAGAGTAGTTGCCTGTTATTCAAGACGAGATATATTATTTACATAAGGTGTAATTCATGAAATATGTATACTGTACTGTACTATATTTTAAAACTGGTAACTGTGGCTGTCATGATCAAGTTTAATTATCTGGAATGTGAGAGGCGGCAACCAAAGTATTTCTGGCTCGGTAATTGAAGATGACTCGGCTCCTCACTGCTCAATAATCTGGGCGGCAGTGCTACCAGTGATACTAACAGCTGTATGTAAGCTTTATTAGCCATCGTATAACATGTGTAAAATTCAAGGGTGTTTTTTTTTCCGTAATATCTGGGGATAACATGACTTCACACCATAGTCCATAAGAACCATTATGGGAGAGGCCATTACCCTTATCCTGAGATACGCGGACCAACAAGGCGAGATGGACTTAAAAAAAAACAAAAAACTGCACAATCGGCAGTAACGAGTGAAGAAGCGAGGCACTTTCTTTTCGCGGGTGTCTCCACCACCAACAGGGTGACCGCGGCGCCAGATGGTGGAACTCTCAGCGACTCTCACACTTTCCCCACCCACCTGGACAAACGGAAGGATATGATGCCTCCTACGGCGCCATCACCTTCCTCCCTACCACTCTAGAGGATCACGCCCTTAACTTGTAGATCTTTATCAATCTAAAAAACTTAATGATTCTGTAGCGCCACAAGCCCGCCAAGTTTAGCACCAACAGTTGCCCACCAAGTGTATGAAGTGGAGACGTAGCCCTAGCTTACACAATTCTGTACTCATAGACATAATCTATCAGGACATTATTCTAGTACAGTACTGTATCTGGCAGGCTACAAACCACGGTGATAAGGAACGCGGGGACACTTATTTTTTCGTTTTCAAAAGCCACATCTGAGATCAAAACATGGATCATATGATACCTTTACTAACCTTCCATTGTTCTTATGTTCACATGACAAGAGGCGGGAAATGATTTTTTATTTGATACGTAAAGTTTTAGCATTACTTGTGTCACCAAGAAGGAAACTTGACATACAGTAAGTTCATTTGTAGCGAGTGTAAGTACCGTACTGTAGTGAGACGCGAAACGATTGCAATATCTGTACTTGACTTTTATTTCCAAGCTGGGCGGGGAAGTGAATGTTATAAATGACCATACTTGGTGTTCACCGAAGAACCTCACTCAATAAACTTTCCTTAGCTCATCTCCCGCCACAGCTTGTGTTATAAAGGTAAATTTATAAATACAGTACACAACTGCAGCGATTCACGATAACCTACAATAAACAGTGTAACATATTTAAGGAATGACCCATAATGTACAGTACAGCTTCATATAAGAACCTGTAGCAAAAAAACGAAAGAGCTTGTGACACAGTTCCCACGCACTTATTTCCAGCCTCAGTTAAAACGATCATCACAGGGGAAGGTACAAACACTGGGATAATATTTAGATCATCAAAGGGGAAGGTACAAACACTGGAATGTCATTTGTATCATCACATGGGAAGGTGCAAACACTGGGATAATTTAGATCATCACAGGGGAAGGTACAAACACTGGGATAATATTTAGATCATCACCGGGGAAGGTACAAACACTGGGATAATATTTAGATCACAGGGGAAGGTACAAATACTGGGATAATATTTAGATCATCAAAGGGGAAGGTACAAACACTGGAATGTCATTTATATCATCACATGGGAAGGTGCAAACACTGGGATAATTTAGATCATCACAGGGGAAGGTACAAACACTGGGATAATATTTAGATCATCAAAGGGGAAGGTACAAACACTGGAATGTCATTTATATCATCACATGGGAAGGTGCAAACACTGGCATGTCATCTATCAACTATTGTAAATCTAACGTTACCTAACCCACCCAGGTAGATTGTGAGGTTTTAATCATCTGAGAAAATAAGCTGGGGAGGCACTAATATTCACGTGATCCAAAATAACTACCATTACCATCTCCCCTACTACCATCACTACCACTATCTCTACCATCATCCCATCACTCCTACCACCACCACTATCACATCACCCTACCACTATCACCACCACCACCACCACCTTCCCCATCACCATCTTCAGGCAATCTGGGAATGAGGCCAAACTCTCCATGCCTGTGAGAAAACACACACACACACACACACACACACACACACACACACACACACACACGAGCCAAGAATAGACAGATAAATATTAATTCATTATAGCCATCAAATAAGTTCAAATTGTAAAGAAGCAGGGCAGGTATACAAACAATATACATACACTGCAGGTATAAAAAATATATACATGCACAGTACAGGTATACAAACAATATACATGGAACATAAGAATGGAGAAAACTGCAGCGGGCCTATTGGCCCATACTGGGCAGTTCCGTTTACACCCAACCCCTATCGCTCCTATATCCATCCAACTTATATTTGAAGCTACTCAGCGAATTCGAGTTAATGATGATGTTTGGTAACTTGTTCCACTCATCCACTACTCTGTTTCCAAACCAGTGTATACCTATCTCGCGCCTAAATCTACATTTAGTCTAATTTAAAACCATTGCTACAAGTTCGCTCCTGGTTGGATAGTTTGAGTACCTTTGTAATGTCCCCTTTGTTTAGCCCTGACTTCCATTTATACACCTCGATCATGTCGCCCCTCACTCAACGTCTCTCGAAGGAGCGCATATTAAGATGCTTTAACCTGTCTCTGTACTCAAGGTTCCTAATGCCCAGGACAGTGCAGCTATACAATGATAAACAGTACAGTAGGTCGACTAATGACAGCCGACACAACACCAAAAAGGCCACCGAGAGATAATTTCCGGCATTAACCACCACAACTCTCTGTCACCCAACACAACAGCAGCAGATAGGAGAGAGATAACACTTCTACCTCACTGAGAGATATAATACTTCTACCTCACTGTGGGGGAGGGGGAAGAGTGTGGTGGAGGGGGAAGAGTGTGGTGGAGGGGAAGAGTGTGGTGGAGGGGAAGAGTGTGGAGGGGAAGAAGGGGAGTGTGGTGGAGGGGAAGAGTGTGGTGGAGGGGAAGAAGGGGGAGAGGGTGTGGTGGAGGGGGAGGGAGAGTGTGGTGGGGGGAAGAGGTGTGGTGGTGGAGGGGGAGGCAGAGGTGTGGGGGGAAGAGTGTGGTGGAGGGGGAAGAGTGTGGTGGAGGGGAAGAGTGTGGTGGAGGGGGAAGGTGGGGAGGGGGAGAGAAGAGTGTGGGGAGGGGAAGAGGTGGTGGGTGGAGGGGAAGAGTGTGGTGGAAGAGTGGTGGTGGTGGAGGGGGAGAGAGTGTGTGGTGGAGGGGGAAGAGTGTGGTGGAGGGGGAAGAGTGTGGGGTGGGGAAGAGTGTGGGGGTGTGGGAAGAGTGTGGGGGTGGGAAGAGTGTGGGGTGGGGGAGTGTGGGGTGGGGGAAGTGTGGGGGAGGGGGATAGAGTGTAGAGGAGGGGGGATAGAGTGTGGGGGAGGGGTGGGTGTGTGGATGGAGGAAGGAGGGGTGACTCATCCTTACCATCTCTCCTCACCTCCTCTACCCCCACCCCCCTCCTCCCACTCACTGATTGCCTTGATGGTCTCAATGGTGTGAGTGGAGCAATCCTGCCTCTCCCTACTCTCACCCACTCCCTCTCACCCACCTC